AGCCTCCGTCGACCAGCTTCGATTCGTCTCCTTCAGCCTCCAGAAGACGAGTACAACGCGAAACTTTCGCCACGAGCCGAAAAAAAACGAAGCCAGCGACTCGCCGACTTTCGCTACTTTGCAAAGTAGACTTTGCACGGGAATTTGCTCGGAGTCACCGGCCGAAATTTAAGACCAAGAGACACGATTATTCTAATAGCCACCTTACCTTCTTCTTCTTCTTCTTCTTCTTCTTCTTTTTCTTCTTCTCCTCTTGGCGATCTCTCACCACTTTTCTGACCAATCACGACCGCCGAATATCACCGTTCTCATCCTCAACCCACGTCGCTCGATCGACCACGCTTTTTCGCGTTCGTTTGAGCGTGTTCTTTCGTGACACGAAGCGGAACGAATGGAACGATCAGAAAAATATTTCCGACGATTCTCGCTCCCTCTCTCTCTCTCTCTCTCTCTCTCTCTTTTCGACGTGAAGCGCAACGTTTCCCGACGTTCTCGACGACGCGTCGCGACAATGAGACAAATACACCACTAGGAAACTTTCCCGCCCCCAGGGGAATCCGTCGCGCTTGCGTCCCCGTATATCTCCGATATCCTTGTGTACGTAATAAATCTGCCATTCAGATACCATATGCGTCGGTCGCAGAATGTTTCCATTTATACCACTCCGTGTGGAATTATCGACGTTCGAAGTAACGTTCCGCTTCCTCCCGTCCGATGGCTGGGTATTTTTATGCCCGCCGAGCAAATTCGGATAACCCAGTTCGGTGAAAAGTCAAATGTCACGAGGCAGTAGGGTTCTAGATTTAACTCCAATCTATTTCCAAGATAGGAGAAAAAAAAAAAAAAAACGTATCTGCGACACGTACTTGAACTTGGACGTACACTCTACACTGGATAACAAGCTTCTGCTCACGGTGTGTAGTTTCTGGCTGGATGAAACACCGACGTCCCGAAATTTGTTGCCCCTTGTATCGATAAACGCGCGTGCAAAGCTCCTTCGATCCGTTCGAAGCAGCCGCCGACGAAACTTGATGATTGATTTCGCACGCACGCTCCTATGCTCCTGTGTACGTAAGTCGGAGAAAGAAATTGAAGAGGATTAAAAAGTAAAATCCAATCGCGCACGCCTGGTGAAACTGGAGGGAAATCAAATTCTCGCGCGTTCGCGGAACGGAGAGAAATGATTTCTAGAATACTCGCGCCCGTTCGATGACTATTCTTGTGGCTAGCGGTTGAGAACCGTCAGCCGATAACACGGCTGAAAGCTCGACAAACGGGGCTTGCTTGATTTTACATCAACCTGATTTCTAATTACGTCGAGCCAGAAAATCGTCGATGTGTGTTAACCCGACGAGCTAGCCGGCCGCATGGGAACTCAATTCCGCGATGATGGACGGGCACGCGTCCCACAAAGTTGAAGACTTAATAAAGGCTTTCCTGTAATGCAGAGGGTGGATAGCAGGCGAAGGTGGTAAAGGTGGCGAACGGAAAGGCGAACCACCCCGAAAGGCAACTCCTGCTTCTCATTCGATGTACACGTACGTGCAAGCTGGACGAACACGGGGGCGCGCTGATGGCCCTGGGATACAATTCCACGAAAACGCTTTCCACAGAATTTTAACGAGATAAGCGGCATTAAACCCGTTTTCCCTTCCCGGAGTAAAATGTCTCTAATTCCGCGCGTCAGGCAGCGGCGTTCCATCGCGGCTCGTTTCGCCATTTCCCATTGTCGATTTGCCGCCTCGGCGGCATTCGTCCTTTCGTTCGCGAGCTAATGCTACCAGCAGATTATCTTCTTTATGTTTTCTCCTTTCGTTTAACTGCCCGGAAGAGCCAAGAACGCGACCAGAACAAGTTTCCTTTCCTGCTCCCACCCTCCACCCCTCCCCCCACCGCCTGTCCTAGTTTCGCGTCCGTCGCGTTCGAAAGCGAATCGACGAATCGATAAACTGCTCTACGCTTTGAAAAAGCGTAAAGATAACGTGGATACGTCGTAGAAATGGATACGGGCTGCTCGATGCCTGCGTTTACGATCTCATTGAACACTCGTGAACGTTATCGTTCACCTCCTGATGCGAATCAATTTGATCCCCCGTTCTGAATAATATACGTCGGGGAAACTTTCCAACAGCTGTTTCTTCGGAGATAAATGGCCGGCCATAATCAACACGGTGAATTCATTTCTCCGGTTACGAACTCAATTTACGGCGTATCTCGTACAATTTGTTCCCTAATATTTAATCCGGCTATCCTATTTCGGACAGATTCGAGCAAATACCTTTTTTCTGATTGCTCGTAATATATCAGTTCTCAAATTTCGTCAAATAAGTTTCTTCGTTGTAAAAGCTTTTTTTTTTATTCGCAGTAATCGAATGATTAACGACGATCGATGCAAACGAGATCTTAGTGGCTGATGGACGGCCTGTTCCGCAGAGTTGAAGACTCAATAAAGATTTTCTGCCTGTAATGCCAGCCAGAAGATACGAAAGAAGCAGAGTCGACGAAGGGAGCTTGGATACGTGTTACTTACGTACGTATTGTCGTCGGACGCGAAAAGACATCGTGAAAGTACAGGATGGGACGACGAGGTTTATAATGATGGAGGAGGAAACGGCAAGGTAACGTGCTTTACGTGAACAGTTAATAGAATCAGCCAAGACAAGTTTCTTAACAAGGCTGTTTCGAGTGGATACTTGGCGGATCGAATATCAAGGAGGACAGAAGTCGCGTTGAAAGTCGGAATTTAGAAACTTGCTTGCAGGTCTTCTGTACACCGGCGGAGATGGGAAGTTTCCATATTCGCGCTTCGAAGATCGATTTAATCATCGTTGCGTCAAAGAGTATAGACACTTTATTATTAAATAAAAGGTATCGTCATGTTGCACGACGACGTTTCTACGAGCAAAATCTGTCTGAATAATCACAGGGCGAATAGGAAACGACACAGGGTTCGAGGAAAAGGCTGGATATCGCAAGATGTTCTAATTCGACGCTGCCAGGCCGGCAATACAGAATTCCATATAAGTTTCTCCATAAGCCATAATAATTCATCACCGACAGGATACGACGCTTTAATCCGGCGGATCCATAACGCGCGAACCGAACTTTCCCGAATCTCCATAAATTTTGAAACTCCCGTCGAATCGACGGAACGATTTTTCTCTAGGAATCGTTTGAAATTCCTTCGCGGAAGAACGACGATGTCTGAAGCAAGGTCGAGTTCTCTTCCTTTTCTTTTTCCTTTTCTTCCTTCCTTCAGACGATCGACAACTTTTGATTTTCGTTCGAACTTTGCAAAAACTTAATTTCCATCTTCCATACAGATTAACCGACGACTGTCGAGAGGTATTTTTTTTTTTTTTTTTTTTTTTTTTTTTTTTT